GCTGGCATGCTCTGACTTGCCCAGGATGCGGACCTGGACATTGCCCCACTTGTCAGGAGGGCTTGGTGGCGTGCAGGGACCAAGGCTCCCAATCGTGATACGAGGACGTGGGGAAGGAACTCCAGCGGAAGGAGGCGCAAGGAATCCAAACGCACAGCTCTTCAGCTTTAAGAGGAGAGTCATCTTGCAGGAACCCACGGATGGGTCTGACAGGAAGTCGCTGGAGAGGTAGAGGCCGTGGGCCGCCACAGGAATGCACCACTTCGGAAGCAAGCCTTGCTGGACTTCACTGTATACCTCGGCGCCAGAGGCCATCGGATTGTCTCACGAAAACAAAACCAAGCAAAGAAATGCAATGCCCACTTGCAAGCTGATTCAGCTTCGCGACAAGTGCGAGGCTGTCATCTCCAATGTGTGGGCTTGCCGGTATTCTCTGCGGCATGTAGAAGTTCTGGACATCTGCCAACACTCTCTGTGCCTGCTCAATCTCCGCCTCATTGTTCAAGGCTGGTTTCAGCAAGTCCAGTGCTGCCTCCTTTGCACTTGAGTTTGAGCTGACCCGAAAAAGAACGCAACAAGTCGGCCCAAAATCGGCTGCAAGATCATGTCCCGTTCTCCCCCCCTCTCCTTCGGAGGTCTCGTGCCCTCCACAAGCTTGGCCAGCTTCTCGAAGCTGTCTGGAAGCTCTTCACCACCAGGGCCTCCCCGCTATGCCGGCTGCGAGCCCATGCATGGGCACATACACTTAAACCGTAATTAAAAGACCCGCATGGCTCAATATGACGCACCATGCTTTTTGCCGTTGCTTATAATTAGCTCGGATGTAAGAAGAGTGGTGCAACTGTTCGCGCGGTGGCCCAAGTGCCTATGGTTCCTTCGAAGCCATGGGCAAACTGCTGAACATATCTGAAGATCTGTTTCGTTCATCCCCAAAGTGCTGACGAGCATTGCAGCTGTCATTCTGTGAGTGACACTCCTAGTCAGCACGGCACCACGCTGGCAAAATGTGAAGTCTCTGAGACTCCCACAAACCTTACAAGCTTGCCCTAATGGTGCCTGGCAAGCCACGCCGTCTGCATCGATCGATGAGCTGCCGCGAATGGTCGTTGCCGCAAAGTGCCGCCACCATTGGGAGCACATCCTCCATCCACACAAAAACGCGAGCAAGCGAGCACCACAGACAGAGAAGGAAAAAGAGAAAGAGAGAGGGAGGGGCGCAGCAGCGATTAGAATTGAGCAACAGAAGATCGGGCCAGGTGAAGAGGCGTAAGCAGAATACTAAATGCTCGATCCTCGTGAGGAGAAGCCAGATTGCCTGTCATACATCGGCACATGCACGAAACGAGATGTTGGTGGGTAGAACATCTCAGTCTGTGCATACGGGGCAACATCCCAATGTAATGCATCATGTCGGACGTTTCGTCGCCGGGTCGTGACTCGTAAAGTGAGCTGGGCAACTCTCGCGAAGCACGAGAGCCCACGCGCCGAACACCTTTCGCGCGTTGATAACCACTCGGTCCTCGGGAACTTCGAGGGCGTTTGCCAGCGCACTGCGTGTCCAAACCTCAAGGTTGAGTGGAACTCAGCTTCTGCAGTCTGGACTTCAGAATGCAGAAGGTTGTGCATCTGTAGGGAAAGCTTGCTGAGAAGCTTTAACAAGCACACTGGCAGGCATTGAATATGTGACGCACAGGCACGCCATTGCTCGTGACAGTCCCTTCACGTCCCCACCTCTAGAGTGTTGTATCGCAGACATGGGTCAAGCCGGGCGATGATTTTGAAACCCTGTGCATACATATAAATATGTATAGCGACACGACTATAGTAAGCCTACTGGTCCTTGGCCGGTACTTTCTGTTGCAAGTGTTGCTCATGATGCTCTTGATACGGCCAACACTAGACTTCACTGCATTGTGGAGTTTGCTTCTCATCCTCAGGCGGAGCCTTCAGGACAAACTTCTTCTCGTGCGGGCGCTCGCCTTGCAAGTCCTTCGAAGCGGATGGACAGTGGCCAATGTAGGGGCCTTAATATCAGAATAGGTTTTGGGGGTTCCTGATAATAAGTATAATAAATATAGTATAATACACCCCAAACCCTATTCTAATTATTAAGGCCCCCCCTACATTATCGTGGTATTGTGGCTTTTGCGAATCTCAGCACACAAGGCAAGCTGCGGGGTACAGTACTGCGCCTCAGGAAGCCAAGCTATCCCTGGTGCTTTTGACAGGCAAAGGGCTCCTTGCTCCGCAAATCCAGCAGGGCGGGGAGAACGGCAAAATGCGGATCAAAGTTTTGAAAGTTCACGAATCGGCCTTGGCATTAGCTTTCAGGACCACAAGTTTGCAGGGAATACTAGGGACTAGCAGGAAAAGTGTGCATAAGAGCAAGCTGGCCACCACCCTGCATGATGACAAAGTCCGTGTCACCGCCAAGCACAGCGAGTGCATTTCTCTGATCCATAGCACGAACACATTCAGGATCCGCTTCCCCATTCACAAGTTGCAAAGAAGCGCCAGCCTCCCGAATCCCAGTACGAACCGCGTCAACAAAGAGGGGCCCACTGTGGATTTGCCCCGGATTGCAATCAGTGCCCTCCAAGAAGTGCTTGAGCTTTGCTCTGTCAGCCTGCCGTTGGGCAAAACGCGATTTCAACTCCGTCAGCTTGGATTCCATCTCCTCGGGTCCGTTGCAGCCCTGGGCACCATCCTCCACAAAGTGCAAGTGCACGCCGCGGCTGGCGAGCCCTTCCACCAACCTTCGGGCCAAACCAGTGACGCGACCGAGGCTTGAGGCAGCTGTCTCGTTTGGGAAGTACCCGAGTAGCCAGAATGTAAAGGCATGAAAGTCTACGACGAGCTCTACCTGTCCACGGCTTCGGACTTCAGCATCGACATCAAGAATCTCGGGTGCCACCTTCTTGCTCAGCAACGTCTGCAGCTGTCGAGGACCCATGGCGAAGATAAGCTGGTGGAGGCAGGCTTGCCAACCATGTGTCTGAGTTTTGAAAATTGCTGCGAACACGAAGACATCAAGACCCCCTTGTCCGGCTGCATTCCGGATTTCGTAGCCTCGACAGAGCGGCCCTCAAACCTGTGCGCTGCTTCACTATACACGGAATGTTATGCATGAGCGTAGGGGCATGTGCTTGCATATGCCGGCTGTGCGCTCGCACAGACACGGGGGGTCTGGCGCTGGAGCACTCCGCCCGACACTGGTCGTTTCGACATAGCTCTGCCCGATCCTTGTCCTGCTGCTCAAAGTCTCATCTGAGATGAGGTGAGCTTTTCCTCCGCAAACCGCAGAGGACACTTCCCCCAAGTCAAGCTAGTAGCCTTCGCTCATGATCTGAGTGGCGCGTAGTACTCGGAGAAAGGGCATGACAACGCCTGTTGAGACTCCTTCGGCCCATTGAGGGCTGAAGGATTTCGACTTAGCGGCCTAGGCCTAGAAAACCAGACATGCATCGAGCAGGAGAGCAGGAGCTGCTTCCAACTAGGCCCGCCTGGCAGAGTCTTCTCTAGCCAGTCGAGGCAAGTGCATGCAAACTTGTGCAAGGGAATTGAAGCTACCTTACTGCCCTTTTCAGGTAAAGGGGCGTAGCTCAGTTCCCTGCGACTAATTAGGTTCACGAATTCTTCGGCGTGGAAAGATCTCATTCGTGATTCTGCTGTGGCTTCTAATTCTGAGGCAAGGCTCGCTTGTTTCCACGCAGTCTTGCTACATCTCAGTCCGCCCGGCAGCGTTATTCTATGTCGCCAACACCTTCCAGCAACGAAGCGACAGGCCCTGACACCCTGAGTTCATTACTCGTTACCACGTTCGTGGGGGCCTCGTGCCATCTTTAGATCTGAAACATCATCACATCACAGCGAACGCTCATGCCTGCTCCGAGAGACCCTGGAGAAACAGGCGACACGTCCGGCCTGCCCCAGGGCTGGGATACTATTCCAAAAGCTGTCTCGTGCCATGAGATCAATGGACAACATGCGGAATCCCCAGCAGAAGGCCTCAGTGGCTCCGTCTGCATAGACACAGGTCTCGGCGCCGAGCTCGCTCCTTCGGTGGACCTCTCGATACAGAGAACGAAACCGAACGGTGAGTGAAAAGACTCAGTGAAATCTGGGAGTCTCCGAAATAATGGTACTTTATTTTGGGGTCTTTATAATAAGGATCCTACTATTTAGGGTACTATATTAGGGTCCCCTATTTTCGGAAACTCCCATATGGTAGTAGTCTCATGAGAAGTCTTGCAGATCTACAGGGCAGAAAGCGCCTCGGCAGGCTTGCGACCTCGTCGCCTCTCTCGCCTCTCGCCAGTGCCATGCGCTATTTTTCTACCCACTGCTCAGCACTCCCTTGTCGCGGGATGCATGGCTGCACATTGTGGGATGACAACAAGCTGAAGCACACAAATGGAAGTAAGCCGGCCTTTGTCCGCTCGTGACCTTGCCAAGCGAGGTACGAGTGCGCTGCAAGGTTGCAGCTTCAGGTCAACAAGCCAACCGCGTGCTCTCTTCCAATTTTGTTGGAAGCACAGGAAGCCCTCTGCCAACACTTGGCCTCGGGCTTCGCAAGTGAAGGGCAAAAGGTCCTCAACATTCGATCCTTAGAACACCGTAGTCGGATCTTCTAGAAATCACGGTCTCCAACCACTTTCGTGAAACAGTGTGCACGCATTGAAGTTACAACAACCAGAGATATGAAACATAAGACCTCACTGCGAACTGCTCAATGTGAAGAGGGCTGTACCATCTTTCCGTGAGGATTCCAGAATGGAAAACATAATGCTCAGCGATCATACAGGAATTGAAGCGGGGTGCGCCGTAGCATGAACAAGGAAGCAGGTCGGCAACGACGACTTGCGCACTCATTTGGCTGCAACCTGTAGAATTGACCTCAAAATGCCCCCCTATTTTGCAGAATACCTTGCACTGCCGACTCAGACCGTGATATCAACGAAGTTTGACTTCACTGCCACTGCCGCGAGCCATCTTTATCGCTAAGACACCATGAACCCTGGCTTCTTCAGCCTGACAGGGAGAGTAGGAGAAATCTGGAACTGTGTAGGAGCTACCAGCACAAGCATCAGGACTGGCCTGCTCGCGTCGGGATCTGCTTCGCGTTCCCTCTCAGCTCTGGTGGCAACGACAGCAGACCCAGACATCGTCGTCTCACTTTCTGCGCTGACCTGGCATATGTCTCCACTTTCGGCCCCACCACGTGCGATGCAGCGGCGATGCAACATACGCACCGTGCCTCTGGCTGAACCGGTGCCAGAAAACTCGCAGGATCCCGCTCCCAGTCCCCATCTCCCTCCTGGGAGATGCCGCAGCGTTTTCAGCTTGAAAAATCTCTCTTTTTACATGCCGCTTTTGATACCACCCGCCTCGGACGTCGCATGCTTGGAGCTTGATGTGTCCTTGTATGCCGGGTGCCAGAATTCTTTGCACTGCCCAAGTTTGGCGGGCTCAGCGCTTGGCATCCTGATCTGGGTCATAGGTGGAAGCCAGAGAAGCTGCCTCAAACGGTGCCATAAGGCCTACGGGGTATAGCCTGACGCTAACACTTGGCGCCTGGCCTTGTGCTCCAGCAGGCGGCATAGTTCAGACAGCTCCCTCTCAACCTGCTCTCTGAGCCCATGTCATCTGAATTCGACTGACATACACGCTTGCAAGAGCCAGGGACTGCCTTGTGGGTGGTGTAGGCTTTTACGGATGTTGGGCAGGTTCCACACTTGTCCAATGCGGACTCGCAAAAGACGTCCTTGCAGTGACAATCTTCATACTGGCTACGGGAACTCTGCGAAAAGAACATGAACCCAGCGTCCACGTGGTCAGGTTCCAGTCCGACCTTGGCTTCAAAGAATACCTCTAAACCGATATCAGACAGACCGTTTGCGGTGGATACACCTTGCCTCTAGCGACTCAAACTGGGCTGTATGGGCAGTAGGGAGTGCGTGTCCCACTGCTGTGTCAAGCAGCGGGCCGATACTGATACTGCACATGCCGCAAGGAATAGTACATACGAGCTCAGCAGAACAAAAGAAGCCAACCTCAAACAGTGCGCCACGGGCGTGTAAGGAAAAGACACCAGCCCATGCAATTTTGTTCCATGAATGTTCCGTTTTAAATCTCTCTTCTGACAGCGAAGGCAAAGTCTTCTACATCGCTAACATCCTCAAACTCAGGCGGCTCTGTGGATACATCCAGCACGACTCCACCCGAACTTCTCCGGCAGGGCTCTTTCCATGTTTCGGAAAGCTCCTCATCTGAGTATGACTCTTCATCAATCTGGGAAAGGTCCTCCTCATCAGGCCTTCTGCTGCTTCTGCAGAAGATCTGAACTCCCTGTGTGACGTCCTCCGGTGATTCTGAAACCTTTCTCTTGTCTGCTGCCTGAAAGACAGTTTCCAGAGAAAGAAGATGCTTCAAAGCCAAGGTGGTGGCTTGCATTGCTTTGCTGGAGTAGAAGTGCACATCCATCTGGCGCCGAGGCGGCTGTGGAACTTCTAAGAGCTGGCTCTGCACCTCAGCACTTACGTTGAAGTGCGCGTGCAGCCCGTTCCTGTCATGCATGAACTCGTACATGCCTCCAGGAAATAGTTTCATGTGCGGGTGGATCCAGTGTCTGTGAATCACCATCTCGTACATCACCAAGCTGAGACGTGTCAAGTCAAGAGCCGGAAGAATGCCAAGCCTGTCCAGCAGCTTGTTGATCTCGATCTTCACACTGGCGTACTCGATGGGGAACGAGATCATGTGAGTGATGGGCATCTTGCTTTCGTAGTCCTGCAGGAGCAGAAATGGCCGTTAGCCCTGACGATAATGACAGAAAGACATGCCGTGTGTTCCTCGCCCAGTCCTGTGTCTCCTTGACGCTGTCAGCCGGACGAAGCGTGAACTCTAACTCAACGCCGGTGGAGTAGTGAAAGAAAATGGCCGCGCAGTTTCCAATGCGAGCTGCATCGAGATAGCGCCCGGTATCTTTCAGCCTGACACCTGTCGGAAACGGTGGTCGTTTTGCAGATGCTTCGTGCGCCAGCGAACTGGTATCAGCACAACTTTATCCAACGGGCAATCATAGCAAGATCATTCGGCAAATGAGGTTGCGGTGGTGGTGATAACGACGGTGGAGATGATGGGAATTGGTGGTGATGGAGGTGGTCGTGGTGGTTATGATGGACATGGTGGACATGGTGGAGGGGTTGCACTGGCGGTGGTGGTGGTCGTGGTCGACGCCACGATCCCGGTAGCTATAGCGCCCACACCCCACACCCCGCACCAGAAGTCCAAAATAGGGTCATCCGGCACCCTAGTAGCTGGTACCCACATAATATCCACTTCAGACTCAATTATTGTGTCGGTTGTCTGTTGAATGAGGACGGGGGAAGATGGGGGAGGGGACGGGAGGCAACCGCCCAGCCACCCACCTTCATCTGATAACTCGTGGGCCGTGTAAATTGAGCTGCAAGCCCCAAGCGATGCTTAAGAGAGGTGTTTGGGACTCAGAGAGTTGCGGTTTACGGTTTAGGGACATCTAATGACCGGGCAGAGCAGCCTGAGCATCAGATTACAACTTGCGCACTGATGCACGTCCGATATTGATTGCCATCAGTCCGTTCATGGTTCTGCTGACTGACATTAATGTCGCTGTTCTCAATGTTTCTATTTCGATCTCTAAGGTCACTACGGACATGCATACTACTGGCGATTGACTATGGTTTTGACCAATGCGATTATCAAGGCATCCATTTGCACCCGGTTATCGACATGAACTCTGACCGCGGTTGATGGTGACTGCTAGCCCTAATGCCGGACTACAATAAGCGCCAGCTTTTCAACACTTCAGACGATAACGTTGCGGTGCAGGTAGCAAAATGCAAATCAAAGGCGATGACTTCTGAACCCAAGACGAGCGCTCGATCAAGGATTTCTTAAGATTTGGGAACTCCATGGCCTAGCTCCCTGCTCAGGTCCCTGCTCCCATGTTCTGTCAGGCGCAGCCCTTTCCCTAAGCCCCGCTTCGGGTGCTTGCCTCACCGTAATTTTCGCCATGTGGCGCGCATGTGCCATTTCAACCCTACTACATCTACCAGTTCTCCTGACAGCTAGAGCAGCGCAGATTCTTGTTTTCTGTTCACAAAGGCTGGCCACGATTGGCAATTTCAGCTCATCTGCTTCAGGACCCCTGCTCCCTCTGCACTCTGGAAGCCTTCTTCGTCCTCAGCTCCCGCGGAGAACTTCAGTTTGGAGAGCTCCACGCAGGCGGCAATGTGAGCAACAAGCTTCATTGCAGGTGGGGCCACGAAGACCATCGCCTGACAGCTGGCTAAAATCGTAAGCTTGCCAAACTCGGCTGACAAGACAAAGCTTCACTGCCCAAAATGCAGACACTGAATCTGTGCCTTGTCATGGTTCAGGAGGTTCTCTCTATCTTTCGCGCTTCCTTGTCTTGACCCCATGTGCGCATGCCACAGGACAAGCATTGCACTTAATACAATGGGTAAGTCGGACTGGGTAGGGCCGAAGCAAATCCCAGCTACGCGTATGTGTTACGACCACGGCAGTGGATTCCATCAAGTACTCGTCACTCAGATCCAGCTCCTCACAAATCTGCATGGCCCGAGTTGATGTCACCACCTGGCATACGGCTTTCACTTCGGGGCGTACCTACTGTGGTTATCCTCTTCGTAAATTCGTGGGCTTCCGTACTGTGCTGTGTATTGCAGGGCCTCCATTGGGGTAGTTGAATACGTGTAGAAGGTCCATGCAAAGTTGCGGGGCCAGGGGCTTTGGAAGTTTTGGGCCTCGTCCACCTCGTAGAGCCGTGCAGCGAAAGGCTCCTTTAGAGTCCCTTCCTGCAGCACAAAGAGGAAGCTGAGCTGCTCATCGATCTTGACCACCCGGCTTTCAAAGCGCCTGGCTTTTGGGTTGTAGTAAAGCACCTGAGCTGCATTTTACATTGGAGCTTGCAGAAGAGCTCATGCACCAGTGGCCGAGATGCATGCCGACCAACTTGCATAGCCTCCAGTGGGTCCACATCTTTCACCTTTGCCTCCAATAAAGTAGATCACTCCACAACAGCAGTGGGCTGCACAGAGTCTCCACATGTAGGTCACAGGACAGAAACCTCACTCCGAAGTGCTGTCTGTTGTCGCCAAAGACCCAAAAGAATGCTGCTCTGAGAAATGGCCCGCAGCTCATTCTCCACACAAGGAGTCGGGCTTAGACAGCCTACGTGCCTATACTGCTGCACAACTGTCGCTGACCCATCTTGTCGGAAGTCAGCCTGCTGAAGACGCAAAGAGGAGGAGTCGCTGGCAGCAGATATGTAGTCGCCCTGGCATCCACAGGCAAGCCTTTTCCTCAGACGGCCACAAGCATGCCAGACTTCGTTTCTCGTTCTCTCCTGGCTATGCGGCATAACTTTTCCCTCAATTTGCAACCACGCATCAAGCTCTGCCAGCGCAGACTACTGGTCACCGGGGTGAACCGCTTTCCCTGTGGTGCCTCAATCATTTGCAGCCTCGGTCGAAGCATTCATAGTTCGCCTTCGTCAATGGGCGACCAAGCTCCAACTTCTCTCTCAGCACCGCACCAGAACTAAGGGCTGCGGTCTCTGGTCACGCCATAGGTCCTTCCGTCAAACCGAAGGTACATGTCAACGTGCTGGGGGATCGCACGAAATGTGCTACTTTGACAGCAGAAAGAGCTTGCTTGGAAGCAGTTCCCAAGTCGGACAGCAGCTGTAACATCCAGACATGCCGCAGAGAGGCACGGGCTTGTTCTGCCCTGTGACAAGCCACGCATTTGCCTAGCCTTGCTACTGGAGAACTCCGCTTTCCCTGTCACGGTCCTGGCGTGGCTCAGCAGTCATGCATGTGCATTGTCTTTGTGCACTTGCAAATTCTTTTGGAGCCAACGCTGTGGGAAACGAGGCATTCAACCGGACGGAAGTTGCCACTCTTTAGCTCAAAATCCTTCGAAGGTCTTCCAAGCATTGGCACGTAGCTGTGCTTCCAAGACGAACCATGTCAGGTCGAGGAATGTTCGGTTCAGGGAGGCCTAATGCTTGGGAACCGACTTGCAAGACTCTTAAAGGCAGCCGTGGAGCCAATTCTGGCATTGTCCATTGCGCAGATGGCCAAGCAGCTGCGTTGCAATACCTCGATTTCCAAGACCGCTGCTTTGGGTTCCAAGAACGCATAAAGTTCTAGTGGCAGAATGCATTCCACCAAGTGACGGGTTGTTCCACTGCTCTGCTGTCAGACGCACTCGCAGCTTGACACATGGTGTGTTATAAGTCTGGTGCTCAGAATTCAAGCGAGAGAGCGGGTACCGAAGCAAGACACGATCGAGGCTAAATGCTGGCTGAGATGCCCCTTCACGGCATGATGCGCAGAGCAACATATGCTCGTCTCAGTCTTCTCCGACTCTGAGACAGGCTCCTCTGGCAATTCCTGACGCGACATTGATGTGGAAAAGCTGCCGCCCTGAGAACCATCTGGATCGCCCTTCTCGGACCTCAGCGTCCAAAGATGAAGGTTTCCTTTACTCACGACTCCTTGACTTGCCAGGTTGCGGTTCTGGCAAGTCAAAATCGAGCTCGGATCCATGCCTCAAAAATTGACCGGCTTCCAGGCTGCGAGAGGATGGGGGGCACCCGAGTGTTGCGAGCTTTATAAAGATCTGCAACGACATCTGCACAAGTACACCAATGTTGTGCTGCTTGCCTGACCAGTTATGTGCAGCAGCGCAAGATCTTGATGCTAGCGTCGCAGTGCAGCCGAGCTTCGGTTCTTGCGAAGGCTCCCATTCTTGCCTGTCCATGTTTGGCGGGCTTTGCAATGCTTCTGAGTCGAAGGAAGGGCAAACCAAGGTCACCGGCGCAGCAGAATTCTTCCTATGAAACTATCAGGCAATGAGTTAAACTACGAGTACTCTAAGCTCTTAGCCACCACCACCACCACCACCGGAACCTCCGCCAACACGACGGCTACTGCTATTGCTATTGCTATTGCTATTGCTATTGCTATTGCTATTGCTATTGCTATTGCTACTGCTACTGCTACTGCTACTGCTACTGCTACTGCTACTGCTACTGCTACTGCTACTGCTACTGCTGCTGCTGCTCCTACTGCCCTTCTTGGACGTTTTGGGCTTGG